ATTCTACATATGTCAGTTAAGTCTAGGTTATTGATTGTGATATTGAGTTCTATAGTTTCTTTATTCAGCTTTTGAATGGAGGATCTGTCCAATAGAGAGAGCAGTGTGTTGAAGTCACCCATAATTATTGTGTTGTGGTCTATTTGACTCTTGAACTTGAGGAGAGTTTGTTTTATGAACATTGAAGCACCATGATTTGGTGCACACATATTGATAATTGTTATGTCTTGTTGGTGGATGGTTCCTTTTAACAGTATATACTGTCCTTCTTTATCTCTTTTGATTAACTTAGGTTTGAAGTTGATTTTATTCGATATGAGTATGGCCACTCCTGCTTGCTTCCAAGGACCATGTGGGTGGTATGATTTTTCCCAACCTTTCACCTTCAGCCTGTGTATGTCTTTTCCTATCATATGAGTCTCCTGAAGGCAGCATATTGTTGGATTTGTTTTTTGAATCCAGGTTACTAGCCTATGTCTCTTGATTGGTGAATTTAAGCCATTAACGTTTAAGGTTACTATTGATATATGGTTTGTACTTCCCGTCATGCTTGTTTATTTATTTATTTTAATATGGCTAGTTTTTCCTTTTTGGTTATTTTTTTTTCCTTCCCTTTACCGAGTTACCTCCCACTGTTAGTTTTGGGTGCTGTTTTTCAATTCCTCTTCTTGTAGTGTTTTGCTCAAAATGCCTTGCAGTGCTGGTTTTCTGGCTGCGAATTCTTTTAACTTTTGTTTATCGTGAAATATTTTAATTTCATTGTCAAATCTGAAGTTTAATTTTGCTGGATACAGTATTTAAAGAACAACTAGCATTGATCCTTCACTACCTGCTTCAAAAGTAAAAGAAGGAATACTTCCCACTTATTATATAAAACCAGTATTACTGTGATACCAAAGCCAGACAAGAAAACAATTCCAACATGTTTTGAATATAGGTGCAAAAATCCTCAAAAAATCACAAGCAATATATAAAAGGATCAGATATCAAGAACAAGCAGAACTCTCTAGCTGCCATCTTGCATACGCCTAATCTCAGCTGGTCTGCCTGAGACCCCTTGAGTGCCAACCCTAGTCCAAAGTATTGAAGAGGTGAATATGTTTACATGTGATGTATGTATAGTGATTCACCTTAACAACCCTAAAGTTCAGGCGTCTCTGACAGCAAACACTTTCACCATTACAGGCCATGCTGAGACAAAGCAACTGACAGAAATGCTACTCAGCATCTTAAACCAGCTTGGTGAAGACCATCTGATTAGTTTAAGGAGACTGGCTGAAGCTCTGCTCAAACAATCTGTAGATGGAAAAGCATTAATTACTATTGAAGAGGATGATGATGATCAAGTTCCAGATTTTTTGGAGAATTTTGATGAGCCTTCTAAGATGCAGTAAACTGATCAACTTCTGAAGAAGATAAACTTGAAGAAGTTACTTGGAGCTGCTAGTCTACATTATGACTGATATTTAAAATTGTTTTGTTTCTGGAACTCATAAAATTGAGATCTCTAATATTTTTAAGCCCAAGCTCCTTGGACACTGCAGCTCTTTTCAGTTTTTGCTTATATACAATTGACTCTTTGAAGCTAATTAAGCTGAAGAAGCTTGGGAATAAAGTTTGAAACAAAGTTTAAAAAAGAACAAGCAGAACTTACCCCCAAGACATCAAGATTTGTTCAAAAAATAGAAATCAATCAATGTAATACATCATACTGATAGAATAAAGCACAAAAATAAATAATCCTCTTAGGGCTGGGGATGTGACTTAGTGCTTTCCTGGAAGGTGTGAGGCCTTGGGTGTGCCGTAGCATCACACACACTAAGAAAAATGATCATCTCAGTAGATACAGAAAATGGATTTTGTCAAAACCCAACATCTGGACTGGGAATGCAGCTCACCGGTAGACCACATGCCTAGCAAGTGTGGGGCCCTGGGTTCCATCCCCAGTGCACATGCACACACACAAACAAAAATGAATTATGTATACAAACCAACTACCTCAATTTGCTTAAAAGCATCTATAAAAAAAAATATAGTAACATCACACTAAATGGTCAAAGACTTAAAGCTTTTTTTATTAAGTCCCTCAAATCAGAAACAAAACAAGGATGTGCACTTTCAACACTTTTATTCAACATCATGCTGGAAGTTCCATCCAGATCAATTAAGAAAAACTCTGTGGGGAGGAGAGAGGCAGGGCATACAAAGTGGAAAGGAATCAGGAATGTATAAATATAAAGAATAAAATATAAAAATAAAGAATCACATATATTTAATATTTATAAAGGACATGATCTTGAATATAGAGAATCCTAAATCCTAGAGAGAGAGAGAGAGAGAGAGAGAGAGAGAGAGAGATACACACAATTAGATCTAATAAATGAATTCAACAAAGTTGCAGAATACAAAACTAGTTTTATTTCTACACACTAACAATGAATTATCTGAAAAGGAAATTTTAAAAAGTTTCATTCATAAAAGCATCAAAAAATACCAATAATTTAGGAAAAAAATCAATCAAGGAGGAGCCCAAATTTGTACACTAAAAATTACAAATATTGCTGACAGAAATGGGGAAAAAAACCTAAATAAATGAAAAAACATCCTATGTTCATGGATTGGAAAAACTTAATATTGTACAACTACCAACTACTCAAAGCAGTCTAGAGATTCGATGTAAGCCCCATCAAAATTCCAATCACTTTTTTTACAGAAATGAAAAAAAAAAGCAATTCTAAGATTCATGTGTAATGGCAAGTGAGTCCCAATAGCTAAAACAACTTTCTATTGTTGGAAGAACAAAATTGGGGGGCTCACAGTTCTCAATTTCAAAATTAACTACAAGCTACAGTACTTAAATTATGTGGTGCTTGCATAGGAATAAACATACAGGTCAATGAATGGAACTGAAAATCCTAAAATAAATTCATTCGTCTATGGTCAAATGATTTTCAGTAAGAATGCCAAGATTATTCAATGGAGGAAGGATAATCTCTTCTAACAAATGATGCTGGGAAAACTAGATAGTCATTTGATTACCTCACATAATATGTACAATTACTTTCTGCTATAGATAGAAATTAAAAGTAATCAAAGAGCTAAATAAAAGCTAAGATGTATAAAACACTTAAAAGAAACCATAATGTAAATCTTTATGACTTTGGATTTGGCAATGCTTTCTTAGAGATAATGTCAAAAACATAAGCAACAAAAAAAAATGTAGATAAGTTGAAACTGATCAAAATCAAAACCATTGAGCCACGAAAGATCACTATCCAGAGTGTGAAATGACAGATCATAGAACAGGAGAAAATATTTGTAAATCATATAACTGATGATGGTCTATTATCAGAATGTATAACTGAATAACTCTTATAATTCAAAAACAAAAAGAGAAACAAATTAAAAATAAACAATAAACTGACTCTCCAAAGAAGATACAGAAATGGCCAAAAAGCACATGAATATATGTTTAGCCATTAATCATTAGGGAAATGCGAATCAAACCACAAAGAGATACCATCTAACAGAAAGTCTATCAGAATAAAAGCCATATCCCTCTGTACCCTTGGGTGGGTCCATAATGAATCTTCCTGACATTAGCAATAAATCTTAGGATACTGAAAGACAGCTCAGGGTAGCCAATCTAACTGTGACTCATCTCCTTCAGAGACAGGAGTCTCTTCCACCTTCTGCCTCTTGTGTCTGGCTATGGCCAGGAGGGCTTTAAATAATAGACTATAATATCCAAACTAAGCTCAGATTCTCTTGCTGCCACATCCCAGACCCTAACCCATACCCCAAGGATGACCCTCCCAAGACTGTGTCCCCCTCCCAGCCTTTCATAATGGTCCCCTTGTAGGCTGAGGCTGAGGTCTGGAAGGAAAAGATGCTCTCAGACTCTCATGCCTGAGCAGATATGAATGTAGGTCATCCATGGGTCACAGTGCCTTGCAGCCAGACTGTCATAGAAGTCATTTCTCCAAGGTCCATGGGACTTTATTCTGAAAAATGTACATGGAACTGATAGAGGATAACATGTATTTTTTAACAAAAATGAACATTTCTCCTATTTTTTTCTTTTAGTCTTTCCATTTAAGCAATGGGCTGTTCAGTTGTAATTGTCTCAGGAAAAGCAAATTATAAGGAAAAAACACAACTGAAGAAAAATCTCTGAAATGGGTGTTTTCAAACCAGTGTCCTTGAGAAAACACTCATCCCATAGACTTGGATTTGGAAGAATTTTGTAAAGGAAGTAAAGTTCTCTCCAGAGTCTCAAACTAGGCCTGGAGTTGAAGGAGCCAAGAGCACAGTGCATAGTCTGAACCCAGTGAGACCCGCCCTTCAGCAGTTGCCCCCATACCTGAGCCTACTGATGGGTCCAGAAGAAATGATACCTTTTAGCACCCTAAGACTTTGCCTGGACTCCACTCAATGCTTTCCATATGGACATTCTATACGAGGTCCCTGGACTTCATAAACCCCAAAGAGGAAGGCAGGATCCTGGACATCCCACTGGGCAAAGAAGTGAGGAAGGAGAAGTTCCTATGCCTGTTCTTGAGGGGGCTGAGCAAGCTAAGCTTGAGAAAATTCCCAAGCAGGACAGTGGAGAATGTTCCTTCCCCAGACCAGTCACAACATGGAAGTGGGGATTCAGAATTCCCAGCTCCCAGCAAACTGGAGAAAGCCCTACAGTTCCCTCCCAGGAAGAAAGCCATATCTAAGGCATGCTGAACTGTGCTGAGCTCTCCTCGGTGGCTTCCTCCATTTCCCGCAGACAGCTCATCTTTTTGCCTGTTTTTGGTTGTTTCAGCAAACTCCATCCGTCCTGTTCTCTCAAAGTAATCACACAAATAACCAGAGGCATTGGAATATCAAAACAATATTTTAAGGTACCCCTTTGAAGCCCATTTATAAAGTTGTCCTTAGAGGGAAAAAAACGTAGAGTTCAAGATTGGAGGTAAAAAAAAAAAAAATTCTTACAAATCAAGAGCTCATAATTTGGAACTTAAAATAAGCAGACAATTTTTATTCTTAGATTTATTGATCCTGCAAATCTTGATCAATGTTTAATGCGACCTAGAAGCAAAATAAAAGCAAACAGACTTTAAAACAATGAGAACTCTGAAAAGGTACAAGACAAGGAAATAGAGCTTACATAATTGCTATGTAAATGAAACTTTTTTGTGAATTTCAGATGATTTAGAAGACTATCCAAATAGAACATGATAATGAATGTGTTCTCCAGGTGGTTTATCTCCCTTCCTTTCTTCTACTTTTCTTGCTTCCTTTCTCACTCTCTTTGTGAGGTCCTCTTTCTGTGGCCCACCCCTAAAATTCTGGAATTTCCCGAGCTTTTCCCCTGAGCCCGCAGGCTTACAAACACTCACAGCACACTCTCCCCGGGTGCCTTGCTCACTCTCCTTGCTCACTTGGCATCTCTGCCCATGGCTGCTGAATTTGAATCTCCTGCCTGGACTGTTCCCTGTTCTTCAGACCCATACCCTACATCACATCAAGTGGCCATTTTCACCTGCATATCTCAGAGCTGCCAGAAAGTCAACCTCTCCACACTGAAGCCCTCTTGTTAAAAAACCTTCCTTTTCTTATACTCATCAACTCATTAGATGGTAACACTCAGCTCAGTTGCCTGAGGATAAGAGTTTGGCTTTCTTGTGGGATCCCTCTTCCCTTGTCCACTCAGCCAATCTCGAATTCTATCAGGACTCATCTCTACCTAATCCTGGTTGCTTTGCATCTGGATAATCATAATAGTCTCCTAAATGGTCACCCTTATCCACTGCTGCCCATTGCAAACCTCTCTGCAGCTTATAACAAGACAGATCTAATCCCTAAATCCTTTGAATAACTCCCACTGCATTTAAGATCAAAATCCCTTACATGAACACGCAGAACCCAGTATCATCTGACCTTTACCACCTCTCCAGCTTTAAATCTTCCCATCCTCCTAGCTCCATGCAACTCAGCCACAGAGCTGAACTGTTTCAGTCCATTCTCAACATCTTGTGCGCGGGAGCGCTCTCTCTCTCTCTCTCTCTCTCTCTCTCTCTCTCTCTCTCTCCCCCTCCCTCCCTCCCTCCCTCCCTTCCTCTCCATCCTCTGGGCTCATCTCAGGCTGAGGCTTGATCTTCATTTCCTTAATAAGACTCATCCAGCCAGGTCTTGTGGCACATGCCTATAATCTCAACAACTCTGGGAGCCGAGACAGGAGAATTGCAAGTTCAAGGCCAGCCTCTGCAACTTAGTGAGAGCCTAGGCAACTTAGCGAGACCCTGTCTCAAAAATAAAAAATAAAAAGGGATGGAGATGTCTCTCAGTGGCAAAACATCCTGGGTTCAATCTCTAGTACCAAAAAAATAAAAATAAAAAAATTTAAAAATCTCTGCCTAGTCCCTCAGAGCACCTTACTCACTGGCCCAAGGCCCACAAAGGGCAGGTACATTGTTCAATTGTGTTTTCTAGCTCCCACCATGGTGTCAAATAATAGCAGATATCCAATAAAAATATAGCCATAAATTAACAAGCACTGAGTCCTTCTAGCCTAACTCTTTGAACAGCTCTTGAAAACAACATTCATGTCCAGCCACGGCTGCCTGTCTCTAGACTACTCGCAAAGCTCCTAACAGGTATCGAACATTCTCTTCCCCACAAGATAGCCAGCCTGGCCTTTCTGAAATGCAGCTCTGGATATGTCAGCCTCCACTACATCAAACTCCACTGCCTGTAAGGAAATCTGATTCTCTGGGCAACTATTATAGTCCTTTCAGGGCCTGGCCCCTGCTTTGTCCCCTGCCTCATCCCTTACCCGCCCATACTGTCTCCTGCCTGGATCTTCACACTTACTGTGCTATCTGGAACTCCTCATCCTCCACCTTTCCACTGAGTAACAAGTAGGTGACTTCCTTCTGGCAACTTCCCTGACCAAGGTTCCCAATCTGTGCTGGCAATTCCATCTCATCAAACTAAAGTGCTCCAATGTGCCCTTCTACCAGTACCGTCCAGGTCCACACCTGCTAATCTAGCTCAGTTATTGAAAGCTCCTCCTTTCATTCTCAAAAGCATACTAGTTTGGACAATAAATTACCTGGTCATTCTACCAAATTCTGGCCTATTTCCCCTCTAGAGAGTAACCTTGTGGACAAGGTCAGAACTCTGTCTTATTCACAAGTGCATCTGGCACAGAGCCTGGCACACAGAAGACATGATATGTTTGCTAAACAAACAAATGTATTTATATACTGAAAAAGTATGCACTCTCATTAGGATGTGTTTGTGGTTCCAGGGCTTGTTAAAGAGAAGCAAAATTGTATGCCTTCCCAAATCTAAAGATTATATATTATCCATGTGCACGCACGCGCGCACACACACACACACACACACACACACACACACACACACACCTTTTGAAGAAATTTTGTTATTTTCAAAGTCTAACTCCAAAATAGACAGATAAGATGGCATATATAGATAGGCACAGGCAGATACAGATATAAGTATGGATTTTCCAATGACACACTTCATTAAATAACATAGTGCCAATTATGCAAATGGTCAGCAATCAGGGAATTGACTTTCTATGAAGAAAAACAGCCTATTTGCCAACCAATTCTGGACTCATATGTGTTAGGCTTTATCAAAGTAAAGAAAAAAAAATGAAATAATCTGCTTTTAAAAAAATATTTGGGGACTGGGGTTGTGGCTCAGTGGTACAGTACTTGCCTACCATGTATGAGGCACTTGGGTTTGATTCTCAGCACCACATATAAATAAATAAATAGAATAAAGGTCCATCAACAACTAAAATATATGTGTGTATATAATATATATATAATAAAAAATTTTGATACTTACATCAGAAAACATTGATTCATCAAGTTCTTCTACTCTGCTCAAGTTAGGTGCTCCATATCTATCACTAATTTCAGCAAGTGTTTTGCTTGTGTCTAGAAATCCTTCCTACAATCACAAAACTCACTTTCACTTTTAAGTGACTTGAAACTAATATCTTTCATTGTTAATTAGTGGAATTAACTAAATATCTGCTGAGGACAAGAAAAAATAGAAAAACTACATTCAGAAACTTAAAATACATGATTCTATGGCCAATATTTCAAGATATTCTAGTTTTTAAGTATATAAACACACTCTGAATGCACAATTTTTGTTTGCTTTGAGATTTAGCTTCAAAGCGCATCACACTTGTGATCTATCACAAGAACATATATTTGTACTATTAGTTTTGATAATACCCTTTTAGCTACTGATGCATCAAAATTAAGATTTACGTCCTAGCATAGTCATTCATTTCACATAACATAGATAACTTTTTCTTCTCACCTCTGAATAAAAAGTATCCTCACTCTTAGGCATACTTTCCACACTTGTTCTCATCTCCTAGAATATATAAAAGTTAATAAAATAATTTAAATATAGCCCATTTGATTTCATGTTTAATTTTCAAGCATTTTTATTTTTACATAACACTCTAATCAAACTAAGAGTAAAAACCCATCACTCTTTAAGGTATGGTCTCTACACACTTCACACTCAACTGCAGATCACAGTTTAATTGAAATACTAGCAGAAGACAGCTATGCTTTATTTATAATTAAGTAAAACTTTTTTAAAACTAAATGAGCTAAAACATTAAATCTGAAGCCAAGTTATTAGCAATTGTAAAGAGTGACAACATAAAAGTTCTAATAAAATCTTAAGAAATTTTAAAGAGAACTTGCAGGTAAGTAGAGTTTTACACATATTATGAAATAAATAAGTGGGGAAAACACAAACACTTATTTCTTTCATACTATGTGTAAAACTCTAAGTAAGTAAGTATGCACTAAGTAAGTATGTAAGTATGCACTAAGTAAGTATGTAAGTATGCACGAGTCTTCCTCATAGTGTGTAGGCAACATTCTCCATAAGTCTACAATAGAAATGTATTGCCTAACAGGGGAGGCCTTTTCGTGAATGACAAAGTGTTCTCCCAACCAAGCCAAACCTTGCTTACCAGCCACCTTTTCATTCTAAAACGGCAGGGTGACCTGACAGATCATTTGCTATTGTTGCTATTGGAAGACAATAACCTTGTACTCATAGTCACCCTAATTATAGGAACATATGTGATACTATTTTCCAAAGACAACTCCATTTTCCTATATTCTTATAGGACTATAGCCCCCAACCACAGAAATAGATATTTAAAACAAACAAAACCAGTCAGAACTTTCCCCCAAATTCTTTTCTTAACTGAAACCAAAAGAGAAATCCATTCCTCACCAATGGTGTGAGCTACACACACATAAAACCCAGGAACCATTAAAGACCACATTTTCTCAAGTGCTGCAAACCAGACCATCGAGAGAGAGACTGGAAATAGCAACCAAAGAACAGCAGAGGCAAGAGCCCTGGCAGCATTTGATCCTCTTGCTCTCAACAGTCTGGAAGGCCCAAATGTACCAGAGTTCTTCACAGTTTAAGTGTTCAATACTTTCTCCAACTGGCAATCCTTCCTATAAACTTCCTTTGAGAATGATAGTTTAAATTGTGTGTCTGCAGCCACAATAAGGCCAGAATAAAGAACATGAACGGACTGGTCTCTGAGCAAGGGAGAGGCAGAGGTACTTTGCAGGGGAGAGATAAAGGATGATAATCCAGAGGAGAGACGAATTATTAAAATTACCATCACTCTGGTCACACAAACTGCTGATACCGGAACAGAGTGAAATAACATGGGTGTGAGGCTTTGGAGCCATAAAATGATCCCTCCTATTTTTAGGCACTCAAACAGAACCATCATTTCACCTCAATAAAAGATATTTTAAATCCCTGATTTTGATTGTTATCTTCTTGATATGATCCTGTTTTTCTCCTTTCATTCTGGGTCACTAACTCAACTAAAGAGAAAGGGTGTGCTTGCATGTATGTGTACATCTGTGCATATCCAGGCACTCCTCCTACATAGACTAACTTAACACCCGCATCTATATTTTATAAAACTACGTAGAGGGGTTTAAATTTATACATCAAAATCTCATCTTTTTGATTAAATTCATTCTTGACACTTTTAAAAACACCCTTTAAATAGCAATTCTCTCATCTGAGCCATTAATAAACATATTGGACATATTCTATAAAACCTCCTTCTGACCTTATTTTTAATTATGGAATCAACATGGGAGTAACATGTGAGTATGAGATAGTAGCCACAAATTCAGTCATTCGTAAGTTTGGTCTGTATGACACATACTTTTCTGATACCAGGAAATATTAGTAAACTGGACATTTGACATTCTATAGACACAATCAATGAAGACAGGCTTTTAAAAAATCAATTGTCTAGCTTCGCTTAGCATAATCTGCTCATATGTAAATCAATGGAAGTGTAACTGATGTGATTCTGCAAGCTGTATACGGGGTAAAATGGGAGTTCATAACCCACTTGAATCAAAATGTGAAATATGATATATCAAGAACTATGTAATGTTTTGAACAACCAACAATAAAAAAAATAAATAAATAAATAATAAAAAATCAATTGTGCACAATTTACCTTTGTAAAAGTCATGAAAATCTATAGAAATGTATTTCAAAGTGCAAATTATTGTTAATCTATTTAACCTGAAGAAAATAGACATGCTGTTTTCTTCAACAAACTTAACTTCCAACAGTAGCTACTACCATCAGAAATGGTAAACTCTTTTTTTTTCCCTTTTCCTACATTTAGGTTTGTTTGTTTGTTTTTAGAGCATTGTAGTTATACACAGTATTTGGGTTCTTTTTTTTAGGATCATATTCCACATGTTTATTAGTGCATTAGAGTTGATAATATTGGGTTTAATTTTGATATAATTATGGAAGCGTGGAATATAATTTTTTTCACAGAATACAATTTGCTTCAATTCAGTCCCCAGTATTTCCCTTTGCTCTCTGCTCTTCCCTACCCGTTTCTTTTCCACTACTCTGTCTTCCTATAATTTATTGATAGTTTGTTTAAAATTAATGCTTAATATACATAAGGGTGAAAATCACTGTCACATGTTCATATGTATACAGAGGAAAGTTTTGACAATTTCATTCCATCATTCCTCTCATGTCTCTTTCTTCTTTTTTTTTTTTTTTGTATTTTTTTAGAGCATTGTAATTATACCCAGTATTTGGGTTCCTTTTGACAAAATTATATATACAAGGAATTTGATTTCAATCCCCACCCCCTCTTTTCCTCCCTTCTTCCCTCCTCCTCTTTTCCCTTCTCTACTGATCTTCCTTTCACTCCTTTATTTATTTATTTTTGATTGGTACTTTCTACATACATATAAAGGTGAAATTCCCTTTGGTGTGTTTTTATATGTATATAATATGATTCTGTTAGATTCCTTCCATATTTCTTCCCCTTCCCGCCTTCCTTCCTTCTTCTCATTCTCTGCTTCTACTCCACTGATCTTCCCTTTATCTTCATGATATTCGATACCCTCCCACACCACCTTCTTTCCCTTATTTTGCTTTAGCCTCCGCATGAGAGAAAACATCTGACCCTTGATTTTTTGAGTCTGACATATTTCATATAGCATGATTTTCTCCATTTCCATTCACTTACCAGCAAATGCCATATTTCTTTCTTCTTTATGCCTCAGTAAGCCTCCATTGGGAATAGCTAGCTCTTGACAAAAACGTTGACAGAGAAACTTGCTGCTCACAAAGCAGTTTCACATACATGACTGTACTTGATCCTCACAATAATCCAGTGAGATATTACCCATAATATTATGTTTCTATCCATATATTTTGAAACAGGTAAACTGAGATGGAAAAGGTGATGATATACTTAAGTCACCCAGCTAAAGTCTGACAGGTCTTTAGACAATCCCTTGATCTTTTTGCTATGATATCAGTTTGAGGATTCCAGAATATTTTAAATAAACATATTTATAAAACTTAAAATTACCTTCTCTAATTGTTCTTGAGTTCTCTGAAGTTCTTCTAGTCTCTCTTTCTCTTTTTTTTGCATTTCCAACTCCATTTGTAATGCCAGTTGTTGCTGAATTTTCAGAAATACGTAAGTCATATTACAGTCTGATTAATCACCAGGAAAATACTCTATCACTCTTAAATGCCCCAAGCTAATTTCATTTATACCTACCTGAATTTTAGAAACTTATAGAAATAAATGATTACAGCCACATAATATTTAGTTTCTACAAATATTTCCTGAAGCACAAAAAAGAGGGAAGATTTCTAATTGCTAGTTGTAGGAAGAACAGTTTGTACAAAAATCAAGTCATTTTCTGTTTATCTTGGAGCTACAAATGCAATAGTGATAATTTTTCAGATAAAACCTCTTTAAGCATAAATGGATCTTCAAGTAGTCAAAACTTGGATGCAAAACAATGGGTGAGAAAAATCTTAAGATTATCTGAAACCATGAATAATCATCAGTATATTTGCTCCCAACCCAACACGTATATACTAGAATCTGGGTCGGCTATAAGGATGGTTGGGCTAATTTGATGCCACTCATTCTTTTTATAGCTTGGGAGGTAAGAATGCTTATTACATCTTTAAATAATTGGTAAAGAAATCAAAAGAATGAAATTTCATCACACCTGAAAGTTATATTCAATTCAAATCTCAGCATCCATAAATAAAGTTTTATTGAAACACAGCTGTGCTCATTCACTTATGTACTGTCTGTGACTGATTTTGCCCTGCAACAGCAAAGCAGAGAAGCTGCAACAGAGACCATGTGTGGGCCTCTGACAACTTTACACTGCTGCTCAGAGTGCTATGAATCACAGTTGACAACGTTATAACTTAACAGGGTTTGGAGTGTCACGGTATCATAGTAACATAACATTTTAAAAAATTATTTCATCTATCATGTCAAAACAAGAGAAGAAATGAACTTCAGATGTTGTGCTTTTAAGGTACAATGGACTGTGGATTATTTTGTTATCAAATTGATTGGCAAAATATGGTTTGTATTATACAATGACGTTATGCTAAAAAAAATACACTTAAGCATCAACATTACCACTCTAAGCCTTCACCATGATATTCTTGATTCACATGAAAGCAAAGTTCAGATAAAATAAAATAGAAAATTTAAAACAGAATTATCACAGCAGAATTTTTTCACCAAAATTATAAATGAAAGCAAGACTACAACAAATGTAAGTTCCCAACTAGTTCATATCTTATAAAAGCAAGGAGTTATTAAAACTCATTTCATTTCAGTGGCCAAAAGATGTGTCCAGGAAAAAATAAAACTTGTTGGATTATTAGTCTTTTGGTGAGGACAGTTGTGAAAAGAGTTGATGTTGGGAACAACATCCACAGTCAATTAAAAAATAGGCAAATGACTTTGTTTTTCCTTGGCGCTTGATGTTAGTCACATGTTCCTAAGGCTGCCCAGTTGTTATTCTAAGAGTCACTTCTGGGTTGGGAACAATTAGTCTCCATAAACAGTATTCATGGAAGAATTATAGGTAAGAATATTTCCAAAAAGTTGAGAACATAAACACATATACAACCTGAAGTGAAGTCTGATGTGTTACAACTGATAAAGATTAAAATATGTGTTGTATAGAAAAAGGCTTAGTTGAAAATGCTGGTTAGACACATAGGTGTGTAAAGCTACTACAGAAAATACTTGTATCTCTCATATGTAATTGAGCCAGCATTGATAATGGTGACTCATCCATTCCTATAAACTTTTTTTTTCTTTACTACTAGAGATTGACCCAGGGACTGTTTATCACTTAGTTACATCCCTAGCCTTTTTTTGTTTTTTTCTGACTTTTGATTTTTTAACAGGGTCTTGCTAAGTTGCTGAAGCTGGCCTCAAACTTGTGATCCTCCTGCTTCAGCCTCCTGAGTACCCTGGATTATAGGCATATGCCACAGTGATGGGCCCAATCTTATATACTTAACCATCAAGGGTTCTATAATTTTTGTCAGAAATAAAGCTAAATATATCTTGATTTGTCCCACGTCAGAGCAGTTCTGCAGCTTAACAGTGCTAACATCTTATTGTGAACTTTTAGCTTGGAGCCAAGATTTAAATGTTTTACTATATAAATTTCAGGTATACAACATGATGTTTTCATATACATATACATACAGAAGTGATTACTAATGGTAGAAAACTTAATATATCCATCTGGTTGCTGTTTGTGTGGGGGGGAGGGGAGATAAGAGTACTTGAAATCTACCATCTTAGAAAATTTTCCATATACAATACAATATCATTAACTACAGTCCTCATCCAGGACCTTAGGTCTCTAAATTAGTTCATCTTACCTGACTTCAGTTTTGGACTCTTTGACCTACATCCTCCCATTTTCCCCTCCCACCTCATGTATCCCGCCTCTGGTAACCACTTTTTCATTTAAGAAAAAAAAAGATTCCATAAATAAGCCACCTACGCCAGGGCTGTTCTTTTAGTGGGTATAATATAGGAATATCAAGGAATTGCCTTTAAAAGTCTTTTGTAAATAAAATATAACTATTTGTTACCTTTGTAAACATGTTGTTTTGCTAAATATGTTATTAAAATGTATCTGTAAAATGTTCTGAATGTGAGGAGCTTAACTTTTTACTAGACAGTGCTGTGCTGGTGGTGAGAAGTTACTTTCTGGCTTAGGAATGGGTAAACTTATTTTGTAAAGGGTCAGATGGTAGATAGTTTATGCTTCACAGGCCTAGAGGCAAAATTGAGGATATTATAGTATCTTACACAGTTATAGAAAGAGAGAAAAAAATCCACAATATTTTATTGATGAAATTTAAGTAATAATAATTCTTGAATAGATTTTTTATAATTACCAGCTTACTATTAAGAATTTAAAAAATTTAAAGATAACATTCCACTTAGTTGGATTTAAAACTTAGTATTCCTTATCATCAAAATTGAAAATGTTAATGCTAATCTTTCATCTTTCAAACTGTCTTTTCACACAGATAGTTACTGTCAAATAGTGATATAATCCTGTGTGCCTGTACTTTAAATTGAGCATATTTATCTCTTAGAAGGCATTTACAGAATTCTATTAGATTTTTCTCCTGATATTTGCCAGCTGAAGTCTGGTAGAAGCTTCTTAATGGCACAGTTAAGTGAATTTTGAAATATGAGAATTTTCTTTGAACCTACAATGCGGTCTAATGAACACTCTGGAACTATAATTTGAGGCTGGAAAATACATCTAAGCCAATCATCTGGGGATAAAGATGTGATTTCTCATTTCAGTTTCTGGAAGCACTGGGAAGTACATAATGCTGGTTGACATTTCTTGTGATTCACGCAACATGAGTTGTTGAAATGAAATTACTGCAGTGTAAGATTCACATATGAGTGCTGTTTGTTTTATAATTCTTAGGTTGAATTAAGAAACATAATCAAGAAATTCAAAATCATTTAACACTTGAAGTAATGGTTGAGTGTGATTCTTCTTATTCCAAAAACTTACAACTTGTATGCCAATAACCTATCTACAAAAGAAATGTCATTTATGGTAGCATCAAAAAGAACAAAGTACTTAGGAATAAATTTAACCAAGGAAGTGAAAGATCATACACTGAAAATTGTAAAACTCCTATAAAAAATGAGAATGGCACAAATAAATGGAAAGATAACCTTGTGTTCATGGATTGGAACAATTAATAATATTGAAATGTCCATACTGCCTAAAGTAATCTATAGTTTAAACTTAATACATATTTGGAACCTATCAAAATTCCAAAAAAAAAACTATTTACAGAACTAGAAACAAAATGTACTAAAATTCCTGTGGAATCATAAAAGATCCCAAATAGTGTAAGTAATCCTGAGAAAGAAAACAAAGTTGAAGACATTATACTCCTTGGTTCCAAATTATGTTACAAAGTTAAGGTAATTAACAGCATAAAAACAGACATGTAGATGACCAATGGAATGGAATAGATGGCCCCCAGATAAGCCCAAGTATATATGGTCAACAAGTCCTGCAAGATACACACAGGGGAGGGATAGTCACTAGAGTCCAACATGCAGAAGAATGAAGCTGGACCCTTCCTTTCCTTGCACAATACTAGAAAGTCAACTAAAAATGGATTAAAGATCTGAACTTAAGACTGAAACCATAAAACTCAGAAAATATAGTACTAGAAAATCTCTTTAAAATGCATCCAAATGTGCCAAGGTCCTGAAACAGTAGGCCACAGTGTAAAAACAGACGTTTCTCCAAGGAAGCCATAAAAAATGTTGAAGAGGAATATGAAAGCTGTTCAACATCACTAGCATCAGAGAAATGGAAAAAGGAACCATTTTGTACACTGCTTGTGAGAGTATAAATTAGTAGAGTCAATATGGAAAAAAAAGAGTATGGACATTCTTCAAAAAAATTAAAATATGAATCTAACAATCCCTCTTCTGGGTAAATATCCAAAGGAAATGAAATCAGTATCTCAAAGAGATGACCTGAACTCCCATGATCATTGCAGCATTATTTAGAATAGGCAAAATGTGGAAGCAAATGTCTACTGGTAGATGGCTGGATAAAGAAATTCATATAATATCCCAGGGTGGCCTGCTCAGAGGGATAAGCCTCCAAAGAACTTAAAGTCTGAAATCATTAGTAAAGAACAAAAGACAGAGACAGAATCCCTGTCATTCTGACAGGGAGCAGATTCTAAGCATAGGAGCAGTCAGAGGAGGACAGATTCCCCCAAAGTTGCGGCTGCTGGAGAGATGGCTGGCCTGTTTGGATGAATGGTTTGACATCCAGCTCAACATGCTGCCACTTCCCCTCAAGAATAAGCCAAGTAACTGAGGGTGAAGACTCAGAGCAGCAATGTTCTCAACAGCCCTATTCATCTGGACACCTTGGCACCCAGACACTTCTATCTCAGCATCAAGGGAGATTCTGGCAGAAAAGCTATTTGTTAGTCTGTATTTTTCTTTTTATCCACACATCCAAGTAGTGAGCTTCTTTCCCTTTTTTAGGTGTGTAGATCTGAGACTCTAAAGTGAAGTCTTCTGTGGTGGAACTACAGAGGTGGCTTACATTTAGTTCAGAAGTTCTCAATAAATTGTTAGTTCAGAGGCCACCCTAGAGCTGTCCATTTGAGACTCCTTGACCTCTCCCACCACTCATTCCCTTACCAGCATGTTCAGCCCCCAGTCCTGCTACCCCAGTCCTGCTAGGCCAACTTTAGTCAAGGAGTCTGCCTCCTCTACACTTGCACTAAGTAGGGAAATCACATGATCACACAACCAAACCAAAGGGCACCACTATGAATGTGTGATCATCCATCAACTGCTATCAAGTACCAGCTGAGTACCCCTTATTAGAAATGTTTGGGACCAGGATTATATCAAATTTTGACATATTAGTATATGTATAATAATATATTTTGGGGACAAATCCTAAATCTTAACACAAAATTCATGTATGTTTCATATACACCCAAGTAATTTCATATAATATTGGACAAGAAACAAAATTTCATGATGTGGTATCATGTTGCCACTTAAAAATCTTTCGGGTTTGGAGAATTTCAGATTTAGAATTTTTTTTTTTTTTGGTTAGGAATTTAGGAATACTCCATCTGTAATGCTAAGTTTCCTTGGTCAACTCTCTCTTCCATTCCCCAAAGCCACCTGCAACCCTTCACATTCCCACTTGCCAATTCATTCTTGGCAGATGGTCATGGTCCCTACTTCACAGAGATGGAAACAATCACACAGAAACTGCTTCCAACATGTGCCATGGAAAACCACATGTGCCTCTCCTCTCTTCTGTCCCTCCATTATAATCAAAGAAGTGCCTTCCACTTGCCTCACCATCTTCCAGACTTCATCTCCTCGGTCTCCAAGGGAACCTGACTCTGAAACATCCAGTTTCCTAATGTCACCCACTCCCCATACTGTGTTCCTAAATCAAAACAAAAAACCCATCTCCACTGAAAATCTCCTTGAAAATATTATGTTCACTTGCCATCTCCTACTTTACTCCACCCTGAATGAACACTCTTCAGTTCAGCAGAGACATGGTAGACCATTTAGATCCTGCTCTCTCTCCTGTTCTTCCACGATAGCAAGCTCTCTGGGTTTTCCCAGCTGCACTGCTACTGTTTCTGCAACAAAGAGGATGCACAGGGGCAGCAAGATGGATCTATCAGGAAGCCACATCTAAGTGGCCAGAGCTGAGGAGTTTGCCAGTGTTTGGGTTGTGGCAGAGGAACTGAAGTTGACATCACTAATTCCTGTCACCACCAAGCTCCCTTTCTTGCTTACCTGCTGCAACAAGAGCTCCTCTGCCTTGAGCCGCTCCATAATTTCCTGCTCCCTCCGAGCCAACTCTCTTTCATGCTCCAAGTCCACCATTTCTTGTTGCCTCTAGCATGGTTAAAAGCAATAGTATGTGACTCATTAGAAACTAAACAATTCAAAAATGATCTGGAAAACTTCACCAACAATAGGAAAACAGGCAAGCAAATTATAGTCCATCCATTTAGAAACGATATAGTAATTTGGGGAGATGTGTGTTTTATTTGAATAAAGAGCACAAAATTAAAATTATACATTGAGAATGACCACAGGTATGTAAAAAGAAAATCTACAGGCAAACATGTAGAAAAAAGACTACCTGTAGAATAAAATACCTAAAAAAATGTAAACAGAAATCTTATTTGGGTATTTTTTCTCCTATGTTTTCACATGTTATTTTTTATAATACATACTATTTTTTACAATAGAAATAACATGTATGAGAAATAGTCTGGTGGTCCATTTTCAGAATAAAGTATTCAGTCTTAATTGGATCAAAGTATAGTCCTTCCCTTTTGCCCACCTGAATTTTAAAATTAGCCAATAGCATAGGTTGTACCCTGGAGTCCTCCAATCAGGGTGAAGGGCAGTGCTGCATTAGGTATATAAACCTGCAGAGCCAGCCCAGGTGCTCTTGCTAGCCAGGTTCCTGTAGCAAGCCCTTTTGGCAGAAATAAAGGTTTGCCTTTCCCACCCATTTTGAGCATATATTTGATTTCTTATTGCTAACACATGGAATCTTTAAAAAAAAGAACCAATTATTTTACATTTCTTATTTCCTAAAAGGAGATTCATACTTACCAGTTGTTCCATGGTTAAATTTTCCTTATACTTGTAAATCCACAATGCTAAATATTCTATTGGATCCGCTGGGCGAACTCTTGCTACTTCTGCAAGACCTAGAGTTAGACACATTCCAAGGTGCTTTTGAAGATATGACGACTCCATTTCTAACTCCTAAATAAAAACCTCTAAAAAATAAACATTTTGCATTAGTGCAGGCTTTCAGTTACAATGCAATAGGAGTAAAGTCAAATAGGCCAACAAAGCACTCTACCTTATCATGGGTACTTCCCAGTATGGGTGGCATAAGCAAACTGCCCCGAGGAAACTTCTAACAGCTTCCAAAAGGGCTGTTCTAAAATCACTAAAGCTAAAATAGTTAAAAGTCCTGAAGGGCTTTTAAGTCCAGTGCATGAGACAGAAAGGGATTATTGACTTCAAGTTGACTTTATGCCAAGCAATACCTGATTCATTTAATCCTCACAACATACCTAAAACTTTGGGTATCATGATTCCCCATTGAGCAGATTAAGAAAGTCCAGGCAAAAAGAGCATAAGTGGACAGTTCAGATTGAAGAGTTGGTACCTACCTCTCGATTCTAGGACTTTACCCTACACTCTACTAAGATGTTCCTCCTACACCATGTATGCCATCTTTACAAAAAGTCTCAACATTAAAATTCCATGTATTTCCAAGGTTAAGAGTATAAAAGAATAGAATACGAGACTCTATTATGTTTTAGATATGAGATGTCCCCAAAAGCTGGTGTTTGTGAGAAAATGCAAGAATAATCAGTGGCAAAATTACTACATTATGAGAGATTTAACCTAATCAGTGGATTAATCCATGGATGCTGATTAACTGGGTGGTAACTGTAGGCAGGTAGGTCACTGGAGGTGTGCTTTTGTGGTATATATTTTGTCCTTGGTGAGCGGAGCTCTCTCTCTGCTTCCTGGTTGCCATGTCTTGAACTGCTTTCCTTTTCCTTTTTACCACACCTTTCTGCCATGATGTTCTGCCTCACCTCAGAGCTATAGAGTAGGCTGACCACAGATTAAACCTTGAAACCCTGAGCCCAAATAAACTTTCGTCCTCTACTTTGTTCTTATCAGGTCCTTTAGTCACAGCAACACAAAGCTGACCAAAAAAAAAAGGCTCCTCACAACCTGGCCCCAAGTTTCTTTTCAGGTTTGATTCCAGGCAACTCTCCTGCCCACAACACACTCTGGGCTTTTGCTCATTGAACATCCTGCCACTCTGCTGATAACACTTTGTGCTTTTCCATCATTGTGATTTTTGTACATGAAGATGATCCCTTCCTCTCAACAGGAAAAAGTATCTCCTCACCTGCAGGACAGAGATCATTCCTCATTCCCTGAGCTTTCCCATCCAACTCAAGGCAGTTGCTCCTTCAACAAGCAGCTCACACGGTCACTGAAGAAGTTCTCTTAGGGGTAACATCTCAGCTAAATTTGAAGTTAGCTGAGATGTCACCCTAGAAGAACCTTTCCTAAAGGGACAATAAAATTTACAAGGCAACAAAGAGAAGGAAGAGCCTTGGTAATGACAGTAGACAGGGCTGGGGATGTGGCTCAAGTGGTAGCGCGCTTGCCTGGCATGCATGTGGCCGGGGTTTGATCCTCAGCACCACATGCAAAGATGTTGTGTCCACCAAAAACTGAAAAATAAATATTAAAAAAATATTCTCTCTCTCTCTCTCTCTCTCTCTCTCTCTCTCTCTCTCTTTAAAAAAAAATGACAGTAGACAAAATGCCAATGTGTCTGGATCCATCCCTGGACAACTGCACCTAGCATTTTGCATAAAATCTCAAAAACACTGTCATCTTGAGGTCCATCTATAGGCCTCAAGGCTTTTCTTCTGTCATGAGATGTTGGTCCAAGAGCAAAATACAATCCTACAGAGGGGAATTGGCAAAAATCTAGAAAATCACACGTTTGATCCACCAATCTCACTTCTTGAATACAATCTCAATGATATACTAGCAAAAATATAAATGGCATATGTACATAGTTACTTGCACTTTCATTTACCATAGTCAAACTGGAATACCATTCAGATGTTCATATAATAGGGATCAATGAGATACAGCACCCTGGATTCTTGTGCAGGCATAAAAGAGAAGGACAATGCTCTCTAAAACAAGAAATGTTCTCTAGGACCCAAAACGAAGTGAAAAAAAACAAGGTCCAGAAATGACATATGTTATCTTTTGCATTCGTAATAGCAGTGGGAAAAGAAGGAGTATGTGTGTATGCATAAACATAGTTCTAAAAACTCAAAATTGAAAACAGAAAAGTGACTCAAAAATGGACCTAATTTCCTAATAAGTTGGTATTAGTGTCCTAATAACATAGAGAAAAGCATTATTGCTACTGACTTGGAACAGTCTTCACTGTGCTTCTTCAGTGGGATCCACTCAAAAAACAGTGCTACACAGATGTCTCAGGTCATTTGAAGTGAGTAACATGAAAAGGGGAAGGGAGTCCTGCTGCTGCTCCAGAAGGATAACACGTGAGAAGGGGAGGACCTCTGGCCTTAGAGTAAGCCAAGTTCAGTGTGTGTCCGGAATCGCTAGAAGTTGCATAGCCTTATCAGTGGAACCTAAGGGTGACATCTAAGCTAAATTTGAAGTTAACTGAGATGTCACCCTAGGAGAACTTTTCCTAAAGGGACAATAAAATTCACAAGGCAACAAAGAGAAGGAAGAACCTTGGTTGGTAATGACAGTAGACAAAATGTCTTCTTGGGCCTCTCATTTAACATGTGGTCCCTGTCCATGAACCTACAATAGTGCCCATCTCTCCTGCATTAAGTAATGTTGTTTTTATATGCACCACTAGGAACCTAGGCCACTAAAGCCCCTTCTAGAGAAAGAGCTAATTTCTGGCCTGAAGAAGCTTCTGCAAGGTGGGAGAACCAGCCTGGGGGAGAACCGGCAGCTGAATAAGAAGGGAAAGTACTCAGGCAGAGGTACCAAAGTTAAATTAAAAAAGAGCTGGTTCAATTAAATTTGAACTTCAGAGAAACAATAAATAACTTTTATACCATTTTCCTACTAGAAAGTAATCCGTCTATCTGAAATTCAAATTTACGTAGTCTTGCAGTATTTTATCAGTATTTTATCTGGCAACCATCAACCTGGGGCTTTTAGGTCACTTTTCCTATTCGGGTCTGCAGAAGAGTCTCTTCCCTTCCCGGGACCCAGGGATCCTGCTAGGAAGCGGGGAGGTGGGTAGGGAGAGAGGAAAGAGGAGGAGGAGGAGAAAAAGAACCAGAGGGCAAAAGGAAAAGGAGCGGGAAAGGGGGCCTAGAGGGAGGAGACTGGGGTGGGGAAGAGGACGGAAAGGAAGGCAGGGATGGGGAGGAGGAGGAGCGGATCCACAGAGTGGCGACCCACGGAGCTCCCAGGAGTGAACCAACTCTCCCTCGGCCTTGAGGGGAGAGACCTGTGCCGCTCTCTAGGTCCAACCGTGAGAACCGCCTCTGCTAGGCGAGAGGAACCGTTCTGAGAAAAGGGCTCCTCCCTTCTTGGTGCGCGCACCCGGCGCATGCGCCCATCCCAATCTGCTAATTGCGTCCCGATGCTAGGCAACGAGGGCTCCCCTCCAGGGCCCGAGCAGGAGTCCTCCCGGCAGGCGCGCGCGGAACGGTGAGCTGAGCCAGCGTCGTGGGGGATGGAGCAGAAACGCGCGCACGACGGGAGGGGATTCGCGCGAAGGAGTTGGGGCGCGCGGAGGGGAGAGATGAGGAGGCTTGCCACCCAGAAGCTGGGAGCAGGCACTTGCTGAAAAGAACCCTCAGACCTGGCGGGTGGACCGACTCTGTGTGGGAGAGGTGGAGGGGCATCGGACTTTCAGGAAGGAGCCTTGAGGGATTTCCAGACCTAGAAAGTAGGAGACCACAGCCCCTGGGAGACTCGCTGCATGCTGCGTGGTCTGGCAGTGTCACACCTCCGCACTTTGGTACTTCCTGGTGACCTCCGGACTCTCACGATTGCACTCTAACCAGGCCCAGGCGTGTGTGCAAAATACTCTGCTAACATTTCCTATTTGTTTGTTTGTTTGTTTGTTATGTCTGTTTTTGCCGTATTAGGGATTGAATCCAGGAGCGCTTTACCACTGAGCTACATCTCCAACCCTTTTTATTTTTTGAGACGGAACCTGACTAATTTGCCCAAACTTACCTCCACCTTGGGATCCTCCTGCCTCAGCCTCCTCTGTAGTGTCTGAGTTTACAGGCATGCATGACCAGTGACCAGGCCAACTTCCCGGGTTCTGTTTTAATTTATGGGTGTAGCATTACCTGGTAGGAGAGGCATCAATAAAAGCTGGTTGAGTAGTAATTGTCAGAGTGGGCACTGATGGATCAAGGAAACAGAAGCTCTGATCTGGGCCCACACACATCAGAAGACGTATTTACGGAGCACCCACTGTGTTCCAAACACAAGTTCTCCCAGTAGGGTTTGTCACACCTAAGCAGTGTGGCAGCTACCCAATGAACAGGGAATGGAGAGTCACCCTGGGAATGCAGAGTTGATGGCTCTGCCTCCGGGTGAGGACAGTTCTGCAATGACAAGGTGGATTTCTAGGTACAAATCACTTGGGGATTCTGTTAAGGTGAAGATTCTGAATCTGTAGCTCTAGGTGGGACCTGAGAATCTGCATCTCCACAAGCCCTCAGGTGATAGAATCCTGCTGATCTTTTGTCATCAGACTACACTGAGTGAAAGGGGTGCAGAAGATTGTTAGTCCTCATTCATTAGTTTAGTTGGGCCACAGATTGGCAGAAAGAGACACCATCCACCCTCCTTCCCAACCTCCACCCCTACACCAAACTCAGTGACTTTAAACACAAATTTATTCTTTTAGTTATTGAGGTCAGAAGTCCAAAATGAGTCTTCAGGGCTAAAAGCAAAGTGTCAGCAGCCTTCTGGGGGATCTGGGGGAGAATTCATTCCTGACAATATCACCTCTTCTCCCTCTGCTCTCTCACCATGTTGCCCTCCCTGTCTGACCTTGCTGATCTGTCTTAGAATGAACTTTGTGATTACATTATACTCACTTGGATAATCTCAAGATGCTTAATTTAATCACATTTACAAAGTCCCTTTTGCCATATAAGCTAATATATTTATAGGTTTCAAGTATTAGGACACAGAGACCTTTGGGAGACATTAAATTTCACTTATTCACAATAAAGTTAATAAATTCTACTGTATAATCTACAGTTTGCATTTTATTTATACAATTTTCCCAACAATATCTTTTACAGAATTCTTTTTTCTGTAAAAAAAACCTAGTATCATGTGTTTAGTCCCCTTTTCTCTTCATTCTTTCCCTATCTTTTTTATGACCTTGACATTGTGGGGCAGGTCGCTTAGAAAACACATCAATTCCCAATTTTACCCAAATTGAAGAGTCTTTATTCTGACCAACCAGGACTGCTCCCTGCAGGACCAAGTTGTCTCTGCAGGAAACAGCCTACAGCCTCAACATTTTAGGATATTTAAGGGTGAAAACCACATCCAGGTTGACATAGCAACCAGCAAGCAAGCAAGCAGGAGTACAGAAGCTGAATAAAGCCATTAGCGAAAGAATTCAATGTCCTTAATCATATTTTCATTCTCATTCAGTATTTCTCCTGGGATTTTCCATAATCATAATCAAAAGAGAAATGGATCAAAGTGACCCATGGAGACCAAGGAGAACAATTTTACATTCTATAAGAATTGCTATTTTTTGTTGCTAAGTATACTATGCTAGGCAATTAATAATGGGTACAGAGGTGGGGCTTTCTCATGGGAGAAGCATTTCTTGCATGAGTCTAGTCATTGCCCATACAGCCTGGCCCATAATATTTTGAAGAGTATAGTCCAGTTGTAGACTGTTTCTCAATTTACTTTGCTTGATGTTTTTCTCAGTTGGATTTAATTTTACATTTGGACAGGACTTCACAGAAATGTATCATGTGCCATAGGAAGGGCATCCCAGCAGGAGGTATGGGATGTCTGTCCCTTCACTGGTGATACTTAGTTTGATCACTGGTTAAGGTTGTGTTGACCAGATTGCACCACTGTTAAATTTCTATATTTCCCTTTGGAAAAATTAATGCATATTTTTGGAGAGAAACTTTGAGGCCACGTAAATATCCTGTTCCTTATCAAATATTATTTACCTTCTCAGGCAGGATGGTGTATGGCTATTTTCTCAGTGACTCAGGAGGCTGAGGCAGGAGGGTTATAAGTTTGAGGCAATCCTTAGCAACTTCGAGAGCGCCTTAGCAATATAGGGAGACCCTGTCTCAAAATAAAAAGGGATGGGAATGTAGCTCCGTGGTAGAGTACTCCTGGGTTCGATCCCCCAATACAAAAAAAAAATTAAATAAAATAAACCAATAGTCATTCACCCATTCATGATGTGTTTTAGCACTCTAGCTTGATTCAGTTATACTACAATGGTTATAAAATAGCAATTTTGAAACTTCCATTATTCTTTCCACATATATTAATCAGCATTCTACTCTGGGAAGGAACTTAGTTTTTTCCCTGTTCATCTACATTTGTTTTGGGATGGACTTATGGATACTTTTTTTATTCTGAGTTATGTGTGAAACTTATCAGAATAAAAATACAGCCACTTGTGCTAAGTCTAAAGAAACAAATAATAAGTCAGGCTCTCAGGCCGTGAAGGACAGGATCTCACACACATGTGCCTAATAATAGGAACTATGGCAAAAGACTGCCAGAGCCACAGCCTTGCACAAACACCAGTGCAACCTGAAACAGAGAATACCTCTGCAGGGACATTTGCCCAGCAACAGTCTAATCTTGCACTGATGTCACCCTTGCTATGGATTCTTCATGGTCAAGGATTATTGTTCAAAATATTGATAAAATCCTCCTCTTTTTGCATTTGTAAACCTCCCCTGGACCTGGGCACTGGTGTGCCCAGCAGTTTGGGAGACCAATACAGAAGAATAGCAAGTTCAAGGCCAGGTGGGTCAATCAGAGACCCTGTCTCAAAGTGAAAGTAAAATGGGTTGCAGCTCCAGCTCAGTGGTAGAGCACCTCTGGGTTCAATCCCTAGTCCCACCACCAGCAACCACCCCCTCCCTGGCGTCAGCCTGTATGAATGCACAGTTTGCAGGTAGCGTATGTTTTCCTGTTGCAGTGCTACTTCTCTATAAACTTAATTTTTTGGAGAATCTGTTTGTTATTTAGGTTAACAAATCTATTACACTCATTATTTATTTTAGTGATCAACTTGTCCCATATTTGGCTGGTAGGAGCCACTTGAACATGGCTCCAGGGTCCTCAACCTTTTGGTTCTTCAGAACTCCTTTACTTTCTGGCACAGTGAGTGATCAGGCACTTTAGGCTTTTCCTGTACTTGGCTTGGAGCCAGCTGTTTCTTGAGGTGCTCCAATGCCCTTTTCATGATGAGGGATGTTTGAAAACACTTTCTCAGTGCTCAGGGCTCTCCTTGCTGGTCAAGCACTTGGCTTCTAGGCCCTGCAGCCCCCAGAGCAGGGAAACACTGGGTTTTCCTTTTTAGCTCCACATCTGTCTCTGTCTCTCTCTTTCCTTCCTTAAACTTAAAAATGGAGGGATAGCGTTCCAGGGAGGAATAAACTAAAAAACGCCTCCAGAAAATGTGAAGGCTGGATCTGACCCTCTGTTATTCCCTGGATTCTTCTGGAGTTTAAATATGTAACTTTCAGGAACACAGAGTTGGTCAGGGAGCCAGGTGCTGGAGAGCTTTAGAACAAAAGTCTGCTTGAACATAAGGCCTACTGGCAAGTATACATTTGTTGGTTCTTTTGAGAAGAGTGGTTCTATGGTTTGGATTTTAAATGTCCCCAAAGGCCAGATGCTGTCATTTCAGTCTCTAGCCTGAGGTGCTATAGGGAGATGGTGCAGCTCTACAGGGGTGAGGCCCAGTGGAAGCCCTTGAAAGGGGACTGTGAGACCCTGACTGCTTCTTCTTTTTCTGTTTGTTTTTGGCCACTATAAGAAGAGCTTCTATGCTCCACCTGATGCTCCCTGCCATGGTGTTCTGCTGAGCACCCATAGACTGAAACTACTGGCAAATATAAATTCATCTTTATGTGTTGATTACCTCAGGTATTTTATCACAGCCATGGGAAGCTGATGAACATGGGCGGGACCAAGTAACATTTCATATTTATCCTAAAATAAATCTGAGTTGGTCAGAATGAATCTGTTTTTAAGATAGGATTACCTGTGTACAAGAATGTGTCTGTTTGGATGCTTCCCAGGTCCCCAGGATGGAAACGGAATACCTGAAGAAGTGCTTTGGAAATTCCTTGTCCCAGGCACTGGCAGAAGTGGCAAAGGTTCAGCCCAGTGACCCAATAGAGTACCTGGCTCACTGGCTTTACCATTACAGGAAAATAGCTCTAGCAAATGAAAAGGTGCGTGTGTGTGGAGGTGTGTCTAGGGAGGGCTCAGTTTCCCCAGAGAGACTGGGATCCAAGGCAGAGTCCTGGAGTTGGCCAGGGGGGTTTTGGTTCATCCACCTTCCCAGCATGACTTAGTCTGCAGCTGGAATCCAACTCGGGGGGTGTAGAGTTGGTGGGTTTGGAGCTGCCAGCAGGCTAAAGCTAGTTACAGGAAGAAACTCCACAGGCTTAAAGGACCCAGGTCCAGGATTATACCCAGGGATGGCGGGCCCCCTTATAAGACCTCTTGATGCTGACCTGACTTGAGCCTGTGACATTACCCCAGAATATTCGAGAACAGATCCAGCTGAAGGAGGAATATGAGAACAGCCTCAAGGAAAAGGAAATGGCAGCAATGATGAAACAAGAAGAGCTTCAGATTCAACAGAAGTGTAAAGAGTGTCGCAAGGTAGGAAGGAGGAACTCGCCATGGCCCATTCCCATCCCAGTGACGACTCCAGGAAATCCCCAGGGCAGCCACCACCACTGTGCTGAGCACACTGAGGCCCCCTTAGTCAACTTTCCCTCCCTGTCACACATTTATGTCTGAACCACTTCTTGTCAATAAAAATAGGAAAGGTTAAAAGGCAAATTCATGTTAGATTCAGAAAATACCACTGACATTACTGACATACACATCCAGATTTTTTTAAAACAATCTATTCACCTGGAACAAATTTTTTTTTTCATGAAATCCTTGAGCCCTTTTTCAAAAATTATTCAGTATTTTTCAGAACCCAAACATGATTGTTATCAGTGCATACTTAATGCATATGATTACATTAACTATTTGGTATATTATTATTATATTCTGCTTAGGTGTCAAGCCTCTGGTGCCTCCTCTTTGAAGCTACAATAATGAACATAAATTCGTAGTTCAGAATAGTTGGAAAAAACTGTACATTCATCACTCTGAAAAGCAAATCTTTTATCTCCCACAATCTTTTCTACAATTTCCTAAAAGATGTCTCCTGCCATTTTATGCTTTCCCCAAATTACATTATGCCAGAACAGATAATTCACTTAAATGGGGTTGTCAGGCTGGAGATCTGAATCTTATTCAGTTATCACTACATCCTGTGCATTTGAGTCTTTAGTGCAGTCTGGTACAAGTCACTAACTTTTGCTGGTTTCCAAAACCAACTTTGAAAATATGCATATATTAAACTTATTTTCATTTATAATAAAGTGCTCAGCAACCTCATAAATAATAAGTAAATTTATTTTAAAGGCTGAACATATGTAAATAAATTAAAAGAAAGATGGTTTTATGCTATTTTTTTGAGGTGATCTAAGGCGCTCTCCCTCAGGAAGGGGTTCATGCTTGGAGCAGTTTTGGGGAGATGGAAGAAATGAGGCTCAGTAAGCAGAAGTCACCATCACCTTACTGACAACCCAATCATTTTCTAACACCATGTTTCACTGGTAATAGAAATAAAAATACAAGATGATGGACTCCCGAGTCTCCACCCTAGTTTTGTGGTAGCTTTATTGAAGAAAACTTTGCACACTCCGGTATTTGAGTCACACTGAGGATATTTTGCACCCTGCAGCAATATTCCTCAGCAAGATTTTGAAAAGCAACAGGTTCACCTTTCTTTTACCAAGTGTGAGACAAGGAAATTGTAAGGGACTGAGAGATAATGCCTGGGCTGTGTGCAAGTTCTCACTTTTAGGAAAGAGTTCATGTGCAAGTTGTGGTTATGAAAATTGACTCCACTTGTTAGAAGGGAATAAACAAAGAAAACCCAACAGGGATTTAAAATAAAGCTGAAAGGATCACCTCCCTGGCAAGGGAGAAGCACATCATTCAGTTCTGAGTTAATTTCCAAGTAGAAGTTGAAAGGGCGAGATAAAAGGCAAAGAGGTAATGGGAACCAAGATCTGGTTCCAAGTTGGCTCAAAGTGGATTATGGACTATCCCTTGATATTGGCTACCTGCAAATTTCACATCACTAGTACTGGTAAATCTGGTTTCAAACAGGCCCAGGAGGGGTTTCATGAAATTTCAGCAGTCCTGCTGGTTCACCAGATTGGCTTATATGCACAAACTCAAAGCCTTGCCAGATTTTTTTCCCCTTAATCCTTTAAAACTATCTTTGCTTACATCTTAGCAATACTTTGTTTCTTGAGTACCCCAGATTGAATACTATTCTAGTGGAAGTGTCAAAAGAAGAATAGAAACAGAGTGCTCAGTGTGGCAGAGGTCATTCCAATTACAGGAATCAAGAAGAGCTCCATAGAGTGGGTAACAGTAGAGTCCAGGCAAAGAGAGCCAGCGAGGCTTGACCTATATGGGTTTCTCTTCACTAAGTAGAGGAGCTTTGACAATATAAACCATAATTTTGTATATCAGTCAGAAAGTGATTCTTATTGTTTATAAAGCTCCGAAGCATTCATGTTTTAGGAATGCATTTCCATAAAAATCAATACAGGTATTTGCTGCACAGTCTCAATACTTTGAATACAGAAGGGTCTTAGAGATCATGTGACCAAGTGCTTCACCCAGAGCTCTCTGCTCAGTCCCTTAAGGTTCAGTATGGAATGAAGCTCTGAGACTTCTAAGCAAAGATGGAGTGGAAGTAGCCCATAGGGCTTAGGTTCCAAGGACTCCTACCTCAGCCAGAGACTACAATCACCTGAAATTGTTTCATAGGTTCCTGAGGGCACTGCTCATCTTTTCCCCTCTATGCTTCAGTTTGGACAATTTCTATTGATCTGGCTTCAAGTTTGTAGACACTCTCTTTTGCAATGTCCAATGCCCTATGTTAGGATTTTAAAAAAAAAAATTCAGATATTATACTTTTCAGTTCTAGAACTTCTAAATGGCCCCTGCCCTTTTTTTTTTCCTCATTTGTGGTACTGGCTAGGGATTGAACCCAGGACCTCACACATGCTAGGCAAATGCTCTACCACTGAGCTACACCCCCCATGCCTTTTTGAAATTTTATTTTAAGAGTCTCACTAAGTTGCCCAAGCTGGTCTCAAACTTGCAATCCTCCTACTTCCACCTCCTGAGTGGCTGGGATTACAGATATGTGCTACTACACCCAGCTTAGTTCACTTTTTTAAAATAATTTCCATTTTCTTTGCTGATATACTCTTTCAAACAATATGTCCATTTTTCCCCTTAAAATTTTGAAAAGTTTTAATCATTGTTTTAAGTCCTTGTCAACTAATTCTGGCATCTATGTCCTTTAGGGGTCTCTTTCAATTGAATACTTTTTCACTAGATTATGTCTAGTAATTTTTACTCCTATGCTGAACATTGTAGGTGGTATTTTCTAGGGAGCCTCAACCATGTTGCATTTCCTTTCAAAGGTGTTGAGTTTTGTCTCGGAGGCAGTTAGATCATTGGTGAGTCATTTGATCCTAGCAGATTTGATGGTCTGCTTTGCTATGGCAACTGTATTTCAGTTTTGTACTTAGTCTTTGGCATGATGATAGCAACATTGTGTTCCTGCCATTCTTGAGAGTGTTTCCAGAGTGTGGTTAGCCTCTACTAATGTATTAGTCTGCTTTTTGTCACTGGGACCAAAATACCCAACTAATTTAGGGGAGGAAAAGTTTATTTTGGGCTCATGGTTTCAGAAACCTCATTCTATGGTCTGCTCAGGTTATAGTTGTGGGCATGAGGTTAAGCAGAATATCCTGGGAGCAGGGTGTGATAGGGAAAACTAACTGGACTTGTGGCAGCTAGAAAGCAGAGAGAGTGTGAAGAACCAGAGACAAAATATAGAATCCCCGAGGCATGTCCTCAGTAACCCACCTTCTCTAGCCATGCCCCACCTGCATACAGTTACCATCCACCAAGCAGTCCATTCAAATGATTAATCCATCAAATGGATTAATGCACTGATGGGGTCACAGCCCTCATGATCCAACCACCTCTTAAAAGAGACACCTCTGAACTTTGCCACATTGGGGACCATGCTTTAACATGAGCTTTGCGGAGGACATTCCTAATTCAAGCCATGACAACTAATACCTTTTTTGCTTTCTTTGTCTTCTGTTTAGAAAGTGATTTCCCCTGCTTTCAATCAGGAACGAACAGAACCCTTTGAGGAGGAGGCCTTGGAGCAGGAACCCCTGCCCAGTACTGCCAGTAGGATTCCAGCAATGCCTCAACAATTTCCTCCTTCAGAGCTAGCTGAGGAGATTGAGCAGAACTTGGAATCCCCATAAGATCAAATCACCAGGAGGCTTTGCCCTGTGAAGTTGCTGATTAAAATGCCTCCTGGAGGCTGGGGTTGTGGCTCAATGGTAGAGCATTTGACTAGAGTAAGGCACTGGGTTCAATCCTCAGCACCACATAAAAATAAATAAATAAAAATAAAGTCATGGGCTGGGGATGTGGCTCAAGCAGTAATGCGCTCACCTGGCATGCACAGGGTGCTGGGTTCCATCCTCAAGACCACATAAAATAAATAAAACAAAAGATGTTGTGTCCACCAAAAACTGAAAAATAAATATTAAAAAAATTCTCTCTCTCTCTCTCTCTCTCTCTCTCTCTCTCTCTCTCTCTAAAAAAAAAGGGCATTGTGTCCACCTACAACAAAAGAGAGAGAGAGAGAAAGAAAGAAAAGAAAAGAAATGCCTCCTGGCTCCAAATCTCCCTCTTTAATTATGAGAGTGGGAAGAATTTGAGTGACCTTTCCCTCAACACTGCAATCCAAGAAAACAGCCCTGGAGGGAAAGCTCTTGCCAACCAAGGTTGGCAGGACTCTGAAAGGCAGGATCTGCAGGGCCTCTCTAGCATGGACAGGCAGCTAGCCATAAGAACCCTCCTCATGTGTAAATCAACTCAGAAAATAAAGATTTTTAAAATAAGGAATGGAACTGAGTCTTTTACCTCTTGTTTTATCATTTATTTGGAGACTGCCCAGTGAAAGCACATCATCTCTTATGCACATGTCTTAACTGTAGCTGTACTTTGCAGTCAGGCCTCCCAGAATATTGACACATACCCTGGAGTCTATCTGTCATTAATAACAGGTATTTTCCCTCACTGTATATGCCAGTTTGTCTCATGTTTTCCAATTTTTTATAATTGGTTATGATAGTAAATTTTATGTTGTGTAATCAAACACAACATAAAATTTACTATCATAACCAATCCTGAGTGGACTAAGTGTATTAAGTATGTTAATATTGGTAGGCAAACATCACCAGTCAGCACTGAGTCTCTTTTCATAATGCAAACCTAGGACTCTATGCCCATTGAATGAAAACTCCCATCCCCTCCAGCCCCCAGAAGCCACCATTCCACTTTGTGTATCTATGATTTTGACTATTCTACATGCCTCATCTGAGTCACACAGTATTTGTCTTTTTGTGGCAGGCTTGGTTCATTTAGCATCAAGGTTGATTCAAATATCATCAGAATTTCCTTCCTTTTTAAGGCTGAATGATTCTACCCTATTTGTGGAACACATAAAATGCCAGTGTTTCTGCACTTAACCACCACACTATGGTGTCTCAAGTGATGTAAGAATTAAGAAGGAAACCAAAGGGTATTTGGTCCCCAAAAGGGTAGAGAATGGGTGTGGGAAATCCAAGACAGCTGCCAGGTTTCTGGCTTGAGTCCCAGGGGTGGATAGTGGTGGTTCTTCTTGCAATAAAGGACACAAGAGAAAGAGCAAGTAAGGGCATGCTGGGTACATCATACCTATGAAGGGGACAGGCAGGGGATACCACAAAAGGGGGCATCTTTGAATTATTGTCCCCACCCAAGCTTCAGGAAAGACCAAAGCCCCTAGCCCAGCTGTGGCTTTTCTGTAAGATCCCAGAGCAGAGGCTGGATTTACTGTTCATGAACTGAAGGGGGCTCAGAAGTTTTTCATTTCAACTCTGTGAATGACAATGTTCATTTCCAAGTGTAACAATTTTAAATACCTGAGATCCTATAAGAGATACTCTCCTGACATTAGGAGATAATAATGCTTGGCTTAGACGTGTGTCTTTATGGATTTCTTCTACTCCAGAAGCAAGTTTACCTTCTTAGCTATGTTTTAAAACTCATCATAAATTGGGTGATGCTTGGCGGTAGCACTTGGAGTTAGAATACTATTACAAATATTCCTTAGAATTATTTTTAGGCTTTAATTCCCACAAGACAGCAGGTTTGCTGTGAATGTGTTCATTCCTCCTGTCTCCAAGAACCCAGAATACTTCAGTGTGTCCAGGACCTACCTAGGACCGACCCCTGAACTTAGAATCCCTTCTGACTTTCTAAGGATGCTTTAGCTGAAATTGTGAAACATGATCATCATGCTTTCTTTAAAGATTGTAAAACTGCATATGAAATACAAAAAGAGCTTGGAATCCCAATGATATGGTAATGTAAATGAAAATGTGGACTGTTTTAAAAACAACTAAAAATCATTGTGACACTGTTTTTCTCTTCCATTTTTCCAATGATCCTGGCATAAGTTTATTTAGCTGTTGTATGGTATTGATGAGCTCAGCTATATCAAGTTAATTCTTATGAGGGACACAAACCAGCCAACTCAATGGGGAGCTAAGGCAAACAGCATTCAGGCCATATAGGAAAACTTCATTATTCAAGATTCATATCCAAGTGATATGGGAATAAAAATTGAGGGTCATTAGGGTAAAATCATCTTAATTTTGTGTTTTGTGCTTAGTGAATAGGAGAGAAAATGCCTGAGTCATTTGCATTAGTGCTTTACCAAAAAAGTGAATAGGGTCAATGGAGGTCCCTTCAGATACCCCTCCCATCCCATGGGGACCCTCTTCTAATAGTTTCTTTTCCAGTTCTTTCTGGGTATAGCAACAGAGAAAAGAGTAAGGGTCCTCTGCCTATATCTTAACATAGAAGACTGAATTTATTAGTTTTCTATTGCTGAAACAAATTACCACAAACTGGTAGTTTAAAACAACACCTATCTGTTACAGTTACATAGGACAGAGATCCAGGCATGATTCACAGGGTATTCTGTTCAGTCTCCAGGTAAAAATCAAAATGTTGGCCATAGCTCATTGGTTGTTGGTAGAATTTAGTTCCTTGCAGTTGTAGGACCCCTCTTTCTTATCGGCTTGCAGTGGAGAGACAATATCAGCTTATAAAGGCCATTCCCACTATATGACCCTATCCACAACATGTTGTTTGCACATTCAAAGTCAAGAAAAAAAATCTCTGCTTTGAATCTCTCTGACCTCTTTTAAGGGCTCATCCACGTGGATCTCTCTATTGATGAACTTGATCATCTCCCAACCATAGCCATGATATCCCATCCTAGTCACCAGTTCTACACACACTCAAGGTGGGGAAATATGCACAGGAGGTGAGGGTCCTCTAACAACTCTTCCTGCAACACATATCTCTTCAGAAAGAAGAGGGCCACATTACAGAAATAATGCAAAATAGTTCATTATGAATTCAAAGGCATTTCGCCACCCAGAGCAATGAGGTTCAAGCAGTGGAGAAAGCCCACAACCCAGCATGAATGAGAGGAAACCCCGGTGGGCTAGAACATGAATGGAGGAGAGGGATTGTCACTGGAGGAGAATGGAGTTCACCAAATGCCTGGTTGCTTGGTCAGGCAATGGGAAATGGAAATAAGGAGAGTGAAGACAGAGGAGGAAAGAAATACAGATGAGAAATGGAAGAATATTTTCATTGAGAAACATCCCCATCTTGTGGGCTTTTAGAATAAGTACTAATGTCTCAAACTAAATTCCCAAATACTTCTTTTACCAAGCGCTATAAGTGAGATAACACCTTTATGATTCCCAGTTTAGTAAAAGTTTAAAGACCACAATCCAATCTCTTCATGTCAAAGAAAGTGAAGGTCTCTTGTCTGGCATGTGGTACCCATCCTTCTGCATGTCTCTGTTCACTCAGAATGAAGTCTGAGTTCCTTCGAACAGCATAAAAAGCTATTCATGATGGGAGGGGGGAGGGGGGTCCTGCCAACCTTTTCTTTTCTTTTTTTAAAAATTTTTGTTCTTTCTAGTTAGACATGACAGTAGAATGTATTTTGACACCTGCTAACCTTTTCAATGCCAGTGCCCACCCCGTTCCCTGAGGGGCCTTCCAGCCAGCCACACAGAATAATCTGCAAATGCCCAAAGACACCTTGCCTTTTCCCAGGCCATTTCCTCTCCCACATTCTGGTCCCTGTTTTCGTGTGCTGATGTGTCACTTACCTGGGCATTTGTTAACAGGCGCCACAGGCCTTCTGCTCACCAGGTTTTCCTTTGGCCTGCCAGGACTCTCTTCCCCTGCCTTGACAGAGGGAAAAGCTGGAGGTGGGGGTGGGGGACAGGGGCATTACAGCAGAGGGAAGATGAGCACAGGGTGCTTTGGCTCCTCTCCCACCCCAAGGGGCAGCCCCTGTGGCAGCAACAGCCCTCCTTCCCAGCCTGACCTCTGCTCCCTTGGGCCCCACATCCTGAGACACAAACTCTCTAACATATTTACACCCTCTTTTCTGCTCTTTCCTCTGCTTCCTGCTATCACAGAAGCCTGTTATTTCCCCCCTTTGCTTTTATCTTCCCCACATTCTCCCTTCCAGACAGCCAGAATTATTCTGGTCTCCTTCAATTGCTGCTCCCAAAGCATTACTCCCCACCTTCATTTTCACATGTGAAAATGTGAAACATGTCATCCTGGAACATGTCATCTATCCAAGAAACTCTCTTCCTCTGATAATTCTTAATGAAGTTGTATTTTCTTACATATTTCATTGACTTTGTGAATCTTGGATATATTTACATATTGCTGAGAGAGTTATTATGAATTTGTATGCAGACTTTTAAAACAATGAAGTTTGAAACAAAAACTGCATGATAAATGCCATCAGTGCCTATGAAAATGAAGGACTAGTGTCAGGCCAGATGTGGTGGCTTACATCTGTAGTGCTGACTGCATAGGAGGCTGAGACAGGAGGACCTCTTCAGCAACATATAAAGATCCCATCTCAAAACAAAACAAAACAAAGAGTATTAGGGTAAAATGCAGGAACTTGTGG